TCTCTATCCGGTTCCTAACAATAGCCCATTTTACAGTTGCGTGCTTGGTTACCAAGTCTTTGAACAGGCGTGAAGCTAAGGGTGACCATGTTACGATACCAACGTGGCTACTTTTCAAATGTAAAATACTTTGTTATCATGCTCACTAGATACTGGTCTCTGTCACAACAAGGTTACTTGTTCAGCCTCACTCCAAATCGAAGGCTTGGCAACTAAGTAGACAATTGAAAAATGGCCTATTGCAGTGTTGTTAAAAATGTTTTTTTTCTCTTAATATATAGGCGTACCAGGGGTTCTTGTTGCCTTGATGGCAGCAATCCAGCCTTCAACATACGACATGAGTACAATTTTGTACAAAGACATCACGTGTGGAACGCTCAAACTCAGGGGGACCGAGGAAAGAGAAAGGTATCTCACTCAGTGGAAGAAAAAAGTAGATAAAATGAATTAAACAACTACATCGAGTCCATAGTGAATCACAGTAATAATCTATGGTATAAAAATTGAAATTCATATATGTGTTTTCACTGAAGAGAGACACGACGATACGACGATGTCAGATGTTGTATTCAACGTCGTCAGACGAAAACCTTGACGGTCAAATGAGACTGAGAATTATTTGTTGTAGCAGACAAATACGGAAATGTGACAAAATTGTAACGTAGGAAGATTATTTCTAGATGCCTTCCTTGTTATCAAAAAGAAAAATGCTTCTTTCAGGAGTTAAATCGTTAACTATCTTCGTTTTGCAAACAGCTATGCTCACCAATGAAGGCTCATTCAAACCGAATATAAAGATCTACATACAACTTCTTACCAACTTAACTTCCTTGTCCGTGTAAACTGATGATTTCAATGTTTATGGTTTCAGATGTTGGCTCAACGGAAGTATCTGGAAATTCAAAGGACCCGTGCTTGCCATGCTTTTGGTAAATTTTGAAGTCATCGTTGCCCTCCAATAAAAGAACATATATAGTACTTGAAAAACTTTTGAGCGTCATTTTGGGTATTCATCGTCCTCTTTTAACTCTCCCTGTGGTGGACTTAAATAAAATTTAATGTTATCCTAAGAAGTTTAAAAACTTTCGCTCTGGCTGTTTTCTGTAGAAATCTTAAAAATCACAAATTTATTAACAGTGCAGGATTCGCTAAAACAATTTCAAAATTTTTAAAGAAACTTAAAAAAGTTTTTCTGAAAGTTCGCGTTTTGCTTTGCTGGCTTTGTTCCCTAATCGGCAGCGTTTGAAATTTTGAAAGAGCCTTCAATTTTAATTTAAACTTTACTCAAAGATGCATTTAAGAATTAAGTGCATATAGCTATTAGAGCCTGGACTCTTAAAGTCACGTGCAATAACCAAGTATCAGGCCGTAGTTTTCTCCAAAATAAGTTCTAAAACATTTTAAAACAGTATTTTTCAATGTCTGAAGCTCAACCAATGTTATTTCTTCATAGCCTTGACTTGAAGTGGGAATCTTATTCAACAATTTTTTTTATTTGGGGCTCCGATTGAAACTGTAATGATTCTGTGTTTTCATAAATTCTTTTTGCCGTCACTGATGACGACAATGTGAATGTCTTCAATCCAAACATTAGGCTTCTAAATCAATGGCTACTCTGCACTTGTGGGTAAATCTTGTTTCGTTCCTTGTCGTCTGTGATAAGAGAGGAATGACTGAGTTCGCAACCTTTGGCATGATACTTGATACTTCATCAGACTTTTAGAGGAGATGGTGGCAACACTTTTCACCCTTTGAACTTAGAATAGCAGTGACGTCCAATCTTGGCATGTTTAACATTAACAAAAGGGTATGTCTTCTGTTATCATAATGACGTCTGTCTTTTGCCTCCTATTCAGACAAACCTTGCGATCTTTGTTATTGTTCTGCGAGTGAGCTTTGGGAGGATTGGAAGCACAAGTTATGTGCAGACCACCAGGTAAATACATATGGTTGTCTTTAGTGTTTTTTATAAGCTTCTTTTTATGTGTATTTCGTTAATCTTCTACATTTTTACTTAAGGAGGAAGGTACAATTTTTTTCCTCAGCGATTTGTTTACTTACGACAGTGGGAAAAAAGCGCATGAAAAAGCGAGCAGAAGACAGTATAGTTAGAATGTTAAAATTGAGTTAATGCTAGGTTTAAGGTTAATGTACTCCATCTTCACCACTAAGAAGGTTCTAACTAAAGTGCAATTGAATGAATCGCGAAAGGCTTTTCTTTCTCTCCAGGAAAGGACTAAAAGCTATCTTCGCTTTGCTTCCATTGCTGGGCGTGACATTTTTGCTGGGCTTCTTTGTTGATTGTCATGTTGCTGTGGAATACGCCTTTGTATTATTCAATTCAATTCAGGTAAAGTGTATGACGGGATTAGATAATATTCCTGTTTTTTTGGTTACTTTTCATGTGACTTCGAATTCTTAGTCTTAAAAATGAGTGAACAGAAAAATAGGGAAGACGCAGCAATAAATAATAAAGGAAAGATATACGAGGATAGTTTGTCGTAAGTGGGAGTAAAAAAGAAAATAAATAATCCCCATAACGATTCGCAATCCATCGAAAAAAACATACAAAGCCATTCAGAAGAGAGGTGTTAACGATACAACCACCTCAGGATGAATTAGTGGCTAAGGGCGTGTTACCTATGAAGTACGCAATGGCTGTACGGTTTTAGACAGATAGAGTGACAACACAACAGAGCCTGTGCATAGTGTCGAGCACTCATTTATTGGAAAAACTCTCTAACTTTATTCTTTTTAAAAAATGTTAGGGTGTGCTGTTCTTTATCTGTCACTGTGTACTCGATGATCAGGTGAGTATAAATGCTGATATCAATTTTATCATTTATCTACTGATTTAGCTACATGTTGGTGTTGCTTTATTTTTCTGTGTTTTTGCTTTTTGTTTGTTTTTTTTTTTTAAATAACGGGATCTTTAACGAATCTGAATTGAAATGTAAAGCCAAAACTAAGTTAAATGTATTTGAAAGGACGTAACGTACAAGGAACCTACACGAACATAGTACAAGAACATGTAAATTTCCTAAAGCGCGAGAAACCTTTAGTAAGCTACTCGGACAAAGATGTGTTTCTGAAACTAATTGATAAAGAAAATGGTGTGAATTTTTTTCAGTTAAGGATTACTTTTGAAACTCAGTAAAGAGGCACTCTCTGAAGCTAGAAATGAACATGAAGCAATGATTTACTCTACCTCTTTGCAACTGAGGACAAAGCTTAAGGAATGAAAAGGCTTCCAACCAATCTTCTTGTCTTACATCTTAAACTCAGCACTAGACGAATTGAATCTTTATTTATATATTTATTTTGAAGTAATGAAAGGATTTTCATTTTCTTGGCAAATAAGTCTTTGATAAGTCGTTGATAATATTTTTGGCATATTTCCCCAAAGAGGTAAGTCCAAATGCGACAGGCCGGTATAACACCCAAAGTAAGTCAAACTCATTTCTATGCATGAAATAAGAGATGATTTGTTACCAATCATCAACCCTTTTTCGTTTATGTTTCTAGGTTCGTAATGCCATGAATAAGATGTTACGTAAGAGGAAACGGGTACACAGTCTCCAGCAATACAAACAGGAGCCCAAAAAAGCGACGGAAATGGCTAGCAAGAAAACAGCAGGTGGTGTAGTCTCACCTTAATGGAAATTTGTCGTTTAGAGCGATGATTTGAATAACGAGAACAACGTACCCAATATGAAAATTAACAATACCCTAGTGTTATCATCCTGCACCACGCACTGAATAACCACAACCTTTGAAGAAAAAAAAATAGATTATCATGGCTAATGAGCGTGTAAAATTTTTTTTTTCAGGAGTTGTGAAGAATAAGACGAACGAGCGAGGAACGAGCGAGTGAGTTTCTTTCTCACAACAAGTGACAAAAAACTAACCTCCACCACTCCTCCTCCCTCCCCTCCCCTGGCGGTAAATAGCGACTGGTCCATAAAAGAGTGAAAAACAAAATTAGATTAATTAGATTAAACAAAAGAATATTAGAAGGGCTGAAAAAATTGTCCAAGGAGCGAGGTTCACAAAACGAAGCAATGATTTCAACTAATGTTGATCTTTTTAAAATGACTCAGGTAGTTCAGTATTACAGAACATTTACCAGAAACTGAATTGATCAACTGTATCATTAACTGTAAAAATGAATGTATTTAAAATGTAGTGTGTTGTTTAAAATAACCCATAGGAAAATTAAAATTGTTACAAATCGAAAATTTGTGTTGCTGGTATGGTTAGCGTAAAACTGGAGCAGAAAAAGTACGCTCATGCTGGCGTGAGGTGTGATGACTTGGATCTGTGTAGCTCCCACGCTAATCCTAGGGCGGGCGTTTTCGAAGGGGTATACAATAAATTTCCCCAAAATGCCTATCCCCCTTTTTTTTTACGCGAGCAAGGGACGCGAAAAACTTTGTTATTCTTAGTCAATGAAAGACATGTGAATGAAAGACATGTGGTCCCACTAATTTTTTGAGAGTAGCAACGTTAGCGTCGACTCTAGTGATTCTTGTATTTCCAAAGAGCAGTTAACAAAGTTGGACAAATTACCTATCATCATCATCATCATCATATTCATTCCCTCATTTGCGCACGCAGTCATGTGTACTTTTAACTACTTTAGTTTAATTAGATAAAAAATTTTTCACTTATAGTTTGCTTCCCTTCTGATGGAGAGGGCTGTGAATAAAATGCAAACCATTTTTATTCAAAACGACCGGTGTATAAATTAAGGATATTTTTCTCTTTTGGCCGACATATGTTGCATACAATCTTGCAATTTGAGTATATATTCTGAGCAAAGGGACTCTTTGAA